TCACTAGAAGCATGATCTGCTTTCCTGAGAACACAATATAAACAAAGTCTAGCTCACAGTTAACCTCATAACGATCTGCTCATCCTGCCCTTGGTTGTTGATCTATACTTATCAAATGCCTGTGTGTACAGGCAGTACTTTTGAAGTTGTATTCTCTAAAGAAAATTGACAGTGTATCCTTTTTAGTTAGATGGATAGGCTTGTTTTAAATTACTGTACTAAAGGTAGGGATAGAACATGGCAGAGATTTTTATTTCAAAATTCCATATCCTTTTCCTAACCCAAGATTATTAACTATCTAAGAAGAGTTGGTAAAAGTAAAAGATACTAACCATTTTTCTTTAGATAGAAGGTAGGTATATTGGTCCATTAAAGTCAGGCTTGCAATATATGTAACTTATTTTTTATAAATAAACTCTCTTAAGTCCTCTTTTGTGCCTACATCCTAACAAGTACAGAAAACTTAATCTCATCAACTATAACCTTTTTTTAAATAATAGCTGGTATTTATTTATTTATTTGGCCACGTGACATGTGGGATCTTAGTTCCCTGACCAGGGATCATTTTATCTTTATTTTCACCACTGAGATGTCCCAGTTCCCTGCCTGATCATTGGCTATTGGTTCATATAGATCTCTGCAACATCCGTCCTTGTTTCAAAGCCTTTTCAAAGTCTGACAGTTCCCTGGACCTTGTCCATATTACTCTTGGACACATAGTAAATAGTCGTCATCCCATCCATAGGGGACTTAGAGAGGTTGTCACAGGCTCAGCTGGGCAGACCCACTGTGTGCACAGCTTCTCTACTGTTGCACATGTGGAATCTCCTGCTGCTTCCTTGAACTCTACCCAAGAATGAAGATAAAGGGCTTCCCTGCGGGCGCAGTGGTTGAGGGTCCGCCTGCCAGTGCGGGGGACGCGGGTTCGTGCCCCAGTCCGGGAGGATCCCACATGCCATGGAGAGACTGGGCCTGTGAGCCATGGCCGCTGAGCCTGCATGTCCGGAGCTTGTGCTCCGCAGCAGTGAGAGGCCCACGTACCGCAAAAAAAAAAAGAATGAAGATAGGATTTTTCACAGCTGTTCATCCCAAAAACTCCTTCTGAATTCTGTCATTTCATACCCTTCCTTGGGAACCCTCTTTTCCCCCCTTTCTGCTTATGGTACTCTCACTCCAGTCTCAAAATATCTTTCCTAATAATTAGCTGCTTGGAGAGCACGGAAGCTTTGCTCTTAACTGTCATACTATCAATCTCTTTTTCTTATCCCAGGGTCAAGTTTTTGAATTCTTTTTTCTCTGTCACCAGGTATATCATTGCTTCCCTGAGATAGTAAACATGGAATGTTCTTCCTACCTGGATTGGAGAAATTTTTTAAATGTAAAGAAATATGGGAGAGAGGGAAGGACATTTATTTTATGTTGAAAAATATTATTCCACCACGCTTGTATTTTTATAGTGTGACTCTGCTGAATGCTTCAAAGCTTTCTTAATAAGAATACTGTTTTTTAGTGAACATAAAGTATGGAAACTCTTCTTACAGTCTCAATTTAGAAATTCAGGATTCAGACTTAATTTTTCATAGATATACATTCGGTATTTTTACCACTTCCTTTGGGAAACAGGGAATGACTGGGAAGAAGAGGAGGAGGAGGGAGAGATTTCTTCTTTTTCTTAAGAAACTTTTCACTGTGGGAAATTTGAAACATACACACAATCAAAAAACAATAGTATAATGACTCTCCATGTACCTGTTCTTCACCTTCAACAATAATCAACTCATACCTAACCTTTTTTCACCTATAATCCTACTCCTCACCATTCTCTGCCATTGGATTTTTAAAATTTTATTTATTTATTTATTTATTTTTGGCTGTGCTGCGTCTTCGTTGCTGCGCGCAGGCTTTCTCTAGCTGTGGCGAGCAGGGGCTACTCTTTGTTGTGGTGCATGGGCTTCTCATTGCGGTGGCTTCTGTTACTGCAGAGCACGGGCTCTAGGTGCATGGGCTTCAGTAGCTGTGGCTCACGGGCTCTAGAGCCCAGGCTCAGCAGTTGTGGCGCACAGGCTTAGTTGCTCCACAGCATGTGAGATCTTCCTGGGCCAGGGCTTGAACCTCTGTACCCTGAATTGGCAGGCGGATTCTTAACCACTGTGCCACCAGGGAAGTCCCATTGGATTATTTTTAAGTTTATCCCCCCTCCCACCCCACCCCTTGCCTTTTTCTTTTTTTTGGCTGTGCCTTGCAGCTTTTAGGGTCTTAGCTACCCGACCAGGGATTGAACCCAGGCCCTCGGCAGTGAAAGCACGGAGTCCTAACCACTGGACCTCCAGGGAATTCCCAAGTTTATCCCATTTTGATGATGGATGAATAAGTGTTCTACCATTCTGGTATCATTACTTATTCCAGAATGCAAAACTCCATTGATTCACGTAATACTTATGGAATGCTTATTCTGCAACAGGTAGTAGCCTAGGTTCAGCATATGTAGAGTACATTATAAAGTCTTGGAAAAAATTCACATTAGGTACTAGTTGGTAACACAAGGGTATAATTTCTCACTTCTTCTTAAGTTTTTCCAATATCTTTCTGTCTACCCTAGCTTTATTTTTTTTTTTTTAAGAAAGCCCTAAACCATCTGCTGATCCCTGCCCCCTTTGCCTTCCTGATTCATCTTCCACTCCCAACTTGCCTCATCACACCCAACCACACTGGCCTCCTGACATTACTGAAACATTTCCTTTATGTTCCCACTTCAAAATGTTTGTAATTGGTATTCTCTCTGTAACATTTTCCCCTCAGATATCTGCATGGCCTATTCATACCTCACCTCTTTAAAATCTTCTCTTACCTCAACTGCGTTCCAAAGTGTGTCCTGACCTCTAGATATTTGTCCATAGTTGCCTTCTTGACTAGTATTTAGGGAGTGGGGTTTTGAGGCATACTCTTGCTCTGTTCTGTATTAAGAATTTAATATCAAATTTATTTATTAAAAAGAATACAAATTGTTGGGGAACAGCTCAGCCTTTGCAAACATAAATTTACTTATCATCTTTGCAATATACACCAAAATTATTTAAAAGGATGCTTAAATATTAATTGATTATTATGGTATTCTTTTCTTCATGATATTCAAAATCCTAAGAAATTAGGTGTTATGCTTTGGTGATCACTTGTGTTTTGTGCCAGATGCCAGCATGCCTCTCAATTGTAGAACTATGAATCTGAAGAACTAATAGCTAATAGTTTTAACCACTGCAAATCTTGTATTTTAATACTGTTTATCTCCCTCTGATGAGTAATTGACTGGTATCATTTCTCCTCTCCCAGATAGTTAAGATAAGGTTTTTGTGAGTATGTCTTCTTTAAAATCTTGTCCTGTGTTCTGCTCTGTCTACTTCACTAATATCTGTTTCACTGAGATTTAGTTCTTCAAAATACCTTGTTCTGGCAAGAATGCTGTGAGATTAACATTCTCAGTCACTGCTCATCGAAGTGTAACTCTTTCTGGGAATATGCATTAAGAAATTTAGACATGTTCATATTCTTTGATTTCATTTTTAGGAATGTAGCCTAAGGAAAATGCACATACTGAAGTATATATACCTATCTTGGGTGGTAGAAATTCTGAGATTATTTTCTTTTTCTCATTCTTTTCTGTTTCTTCTAGGTTTCTTTAATACTCACCAACTTTCCATCCTCTTCTGTTCTCTTCCTTTTCTTTTCTCTATTTCCCCTCAGTACTTTATTGCTTTATTTCTCTTAGTATTAAAATGTATACAGAGGGAGAGAATATATGGGGAATCTCTATCTTCTCATCCATTTTGTTTTGAACCTAACATTGTTCTTAAAAATGAAGTCTATTTTATAATAAAAATGAGCAAATAAATAGTATGGGACTTTAGGGACTTCCCTGGGTGGCACAGTGGTTGGGAGTCTGCCTGCCAGTGCAGGGGACATGGGTTTGAGCCCTGGTCTGGGAAGATCCCACATGCCGCAAGCTGCTGGGCCAGTGTGCCACAGGTACTGAGCCTGCGCTCTGGAGCCCAGGAGCCACAGCTACTGAGCCCTAGTGCCGCAGCTACTGAAGCCTGCACGCCCTAGAGCCTATGCTCCACAACAAGAGAGGCCACCGCAATAAGAAGCCCGCACACCGTGGCAAGGAGTGGTCCCTGAACGCCACAGCTAGAGACAGCCTGCACTCAGCAACAAAGACCCCTACGCAGCCAAAAATAAATCAATTAAATTAAATTAAATTAAAAAAAAATAGTATGGGACTTTAAATAAGTTTCTGTTGGGATGGTATTTGGTTCATTAGGAACTCAATAAATGTTTGCTGAATCATTTTATTGCTTTGACTAAGCAAAGGTTCTTCTTTGTATGAGAAAGCAGCCTCTTTGTGTTTTAAAGCCTATATCCTACCACCTAAGAATCAGGGAAACTACTGAAGTATCCAGAAAAAATGAAACATTTCTTTGGATAAATGAAATGTTTTAGGAACTAAAAGTGTTTTAAAATTTAAAATATTTTAATGCCTTTCCTTTATATGAACTATTAAATAGACTCTTAAAGAATCTTATTTGATATTTGTTTTAAAAACCCCTTCCTGAATTATAGGAACTGCATTAAATTAATTTCATTGTTAGATGGAGAGGACTGGAGTGTCCTAAAGGCTAGGAATTATATTGGTGCATGGGCAATCGAATTGTCACTATTCCTTAATGTACTTGTGCTGTTAAGATGCAATTAGTTGTGTATTTCTTTAACAGTGATATATGTAATGACTAAATTCCTGCAGATGTTTTTTAAAGTGTACTCTTATTTGGAGATTTTTCTTATTCCTCAGAAACTCAGTCTTTCTTGTTCGTTAATTATTTGAATTGTGCATTGAATGTCTTATTTTAGCTTATAAATTACCACAGTATTCAGGATGGTTATGCCCACATTCATTTTTTTCACTGCATGGATTAAAGTTGTTTAAATACATTTTCTTTCTCCTGCAGTGGTTCCCCCTGGAAGTCCTGGGCCCATTACTCGACATGGGTCCTATGACAGTTTAGCTTCTGACCATAGTGGACAGGAAGATGAGGAGTGGCTGTCTCAGGTAAGACTCTGAAACACTGGGTCTATTAAAGTGACAGAAAACAGAGATCCATTAGCTCCTTTTTTTCTTGAATTTTAAAAATTATTTTCCTTACAGGAAGATGGGCAGAATTGGGATTTTTTTAGGTTCCCCAAGCAATAATCAATTGTCTTTCCATATTAAGAATTTCTCATAATTACTGCTGCAGGGATACATATACATATATTTTATACACACACATATACATATGTATATATGTGTGTACATTAGCTTTCACACAGAGAGCATAAAATATGCTATCTTTCAAACAATCCATTCATATCCCCCAGGACCTTGGATTTCAGATGGACTGTTTGGATTAAAATAAGAATTGGCCTTGTTAAAACAGTGAAGCCTTTCAGTAATCTTTGGGCTTTTCTTTTGTGGAGGCAACAATTTCTGAAGATTGGGCCCATACTTTGATTAGGAAAGTTAGGCATTCTAATCTACACAAGTGCCCGCCTGGCTTTCCTTTCCTAAGCTCCTGTAATGCCGCTTCTAGCGGTCTCAAAACCAGTCCTGTAACAGCTTCGACTGACCCTTCCTCTCCGTGCTAGGTGAAGCTGTCTTCATCTCAAGGGCTTTGAAATAAAAGATACTCAGGCAGATTTCAAAATGATGAGATTACAAGTGACTTCATTACAAATGCTGTTATGTCTGTCTCAAGTCTGACATCATTTGGTGAAGTTAATGACTGGTCTCAGATTACCAATCCAGCGGCTTTTCATCAGACAGGTGCCTCAGTGGAGGCCGGGTGCAGTTTCATTGCTTTCTCAGGGAAGGGAGCCCGAAAAACTAAAGGGAATCTGGGAACTGGAGAATCAAATTGTTTCTAGGTGACATACATTTCATCACACCAAAAATACTCCCAGGAAGCTCCTTGAAGGAGCTTGATGCATATGGAGATACATCATTTCTTGAGGATACCACGATAAATTTAAAAAAAAAAAAAGAATGCTGGCAAAGAAACCACTGTCCTTCACTTCCACTTTTCAATTAGAAAAAGGGGTAATGTGTGCTGTCAGTGTGAAAGTATCTACAATATGTTTGTACCGCATACAACAGGAGAGTGAGCAGGAACATCTGGCCATTGCCTCAGTGAAATTGCACAGGCATCTGTTTACCTCTCGGCTCTGTGACACTGATGGTTTTGAGCTTAAAATACACAGAATGCTTTATCTGTGGCCTCATTTACATTGCTGAATACAACTCCTTGAATGAGAAATCACTGTCCTAAATCTGAGTAGTTTTCTCCCTGTGATTAGTGGGAATGTGAATATTGTTCCAAGACCATGATGCTTTTGCCCTTTAGAACTTACAAACACAGAGCTGCACTCCATGAACCTTTTCAGTTACATTTTGTTAAGAATTAATCACTGCAATCAGAGAAATGTGATTAAATATAAAAGAACTCAAGGCAAAACTAAGGCACATGGCAAGTCAGTTCCATAAAGTATGTATACAGACTTGGATGTAGCAATTACAAGACATTGAGAAATAGTGTTTTACCAAAGGTTTGCATATTTAGTCTCTTATTCAAGTTGCTCATTTGTAAAATCACATATTTATTTTTAGGTTTTACCCTGTGTCTTACTCTCTGCATTGTCTAATATTGGCAACATTCCGTACCCCCTCCGTGGAGCATGAAATTCATAAAGCATTTTGTTATTACTGTTTTGCAGCATTTAAAATACCTATGTGAGTGTTCATGGTAGTTGAGAAAACAATCTAATTAAGAAATGGTATTTTGAAGACAAATCTAGTTTGAGGGAAAATATATAGTCCTCTCTTCCATTAAAAATGAAATTTGGAGGATTTTGAGGGCAGAAAAGTAAATATTATAGTGTTTAATTGTGGAAAGAAACTGGCTTTGGGTATTAAATTATTTCAGACCTTTTCTTTTCCTTGGATAGTTCAAGAACAACTTCACATTTGTCATGAGCTTGGTCCTCAATGAAGGAATTACTTTTAATCTGTGGATTGATAGGTGTAGTATTCACTGCATGCCCACAAAGTGGTAAGTACTGTCTAGAATGAGTGAAAAACGTAGTCCCTAGGGAGCCAGTGCTCGGTATATGAGGCAGGCAACTGATTCTTTGATTCTCATGTGATTTTTGTGTTATATATGTGGGGTGCATGTGTGTGTGTATTTGTGTTTACGTATACACACATATATTTACACATACACAAAATGAGTTTCTGGTATTGATATATTTTGGTGAGAACCTGTAGAGGGATGTAGTGAATGTCTCTATAGGTTGCTATTGTCATCACCTTTTTTTTTAAAAAACATTTATTTATTTATTTATTATTATTTTTTGGCTGCGCCTAGTCTTAGTTGCAGCACATGGGCTCTGTAGTTGCGGCACACAGGCTCTCCAGTTGCAGCATGCGGGCTTAGTTGCCCTGCGGCATGTGGGATCTTAGTTCCCCGACCAGGGATTGAACCATTGTCCCCTGCATTGCAAGACAGATTCTTAACCACTGGACCACCAGGGAAGTCCCTGTCATCACCTTTTGATTGTAGATGCCCTGTCCCTCTTCCACTTGGTTAAGATGGGCTTCTTGGAGAATATGAGTGTTCAGAGCTGAGACTGGGGTGGGGGGGTGGATCATGAAAGGCTCTCAAAGGGAGAGCCTAATACATTTCAATCATGATTCCTAATCTGTTCCAGGTAGAAATTGTAACGCACACCGGACCCCACAGACGTCTGTGGATGGGTCCACAGTTCCAGTTCAAAACCATCCATCCCTCAGGCCAAACCACAGTCATATCATCCAGTTCATCTGTGTTGCAGTCTCATGGTCCAAGTGATACTCCACAGCCCCTTTCGGATTTTGATACAGATGATCTTGATCTCAACAGTCTCAGGTAAGAAATAAGAACTAGAGAGTGATTTGAACACATTAATATGTTCATTTGTAGTTAACATCTTAGATAATATTTGCATTTCCCCTTTTGACGCTGTATCACGTTGGAGAATACATGCAGTGTAACTTGTGGTTCATCATTATCACTGGGGATCTTATGTGAGATCTCATCACATCCAATAAATATTTGTGTTCTGGATTGTACTTCCCTAAATCTAATGTTCAGTGTACTTTTAAAAGCCGTCTTATTTTATGATGCCTCTCTCATATTTCTAATATCTCTTTATCTGTCTCGCTATATTTTCACCATATATATTCTCGATCCTCACTTGTAAGAATCACAGTAGTTTACAGAGTATGCTTTTTATTATTAGCATTTTTTAATGTAATCGAGAACTTTTTGACTTTTGTGCTCTTCTGTTTGCTTAGCAGTTTAATTTGTTACACTAAGACTGGACACATTAGGATACAACAGACAGTGAAGGGCTCAGTCTAATGCAATATAATCTCCCTTTCCTTGTGTTCTTTTAAAAAAAAATTCTACAGTGTATTTTTATTTGAATCTAAAATAGCCCTCCGACCTTTTTCTTGCATCTCTTTTTTAAAAATTGTGGAAAAATGTGTCCCAATCCTATGTTGGAAATATGTTTTTATTCTACTTCTTTGTCAACATTAATAACAAATCTTTATAACAATGCAAAAGCTGTTGCAGAGGTGGATTAGGCCTAGATATTTCTTCTTTAAGAATAGCTCATATAATGAAACATGTCTCCTGTAATACCTTTCTAAGTATTTTAGTTTTGTGTGTGTTTTTTTTTTTTATTGCGGTACGCGGGCCTCTCTGTTGTGGCCTCTCTCGTTGCGGAGCACAGGCTCCGGACGCGCAGGCGCAGCGGCCATGGCTCACGGGCCCAGCTGCTCCGCGGCATGTGGGATCTTCCCAGACTGGGGCACGAACCCGTGTCCCCTGCATCGGCAGGCGGACTCTCAACCACTGCGCCACCAGGGAAGCCCAGTATTTTAGTTTTTTATTTTCGTTTTCTTTGTGTTTTATTTCTTCCATACATTTTTGCTTTTTTTGGTTCAGTATATTTTCTTCAGCTTTCTAGAAGTGGCACTTCTCCCTAAGATGTGAGGCAGTAGTGACAATACAGTGGGTGCTAGACCATTTTTCATAGGTACTAATTATAAAATATGATCCAATTTCAGAAAGTCAAGTAGAGTCAGTCCTCAGCTTAGTGATTCAGTGCATATTCAAATGTTTTTATAGGTTATTTTGTTACTTAAATGTTAATAAAATAGACCCATAAAACTATGTTTATTCTCTTTACTAAAGTATTCACAAGATTCTCCCCCCACCTTTTTTCTTTCTGTTGATTGTCACCCGCTACTCTGATAAGACCCTGTCCCTTTTCTTTGGAGGACATCCCCAGCTCCTGTATACACAGCTCTGTTCCTTTGGGTTTTTTGTTTGTTTCTTTTTTTGTTTTTAAAGTTTTGTTTTGTTTTTTTTTTTGATGTGGACCATTTTTAAAGTCTTTATTGAATTTATTACAATATTGCTTCTGTTTTATGTTTGGGTTTTTTGGCCACAAGGCATGTGGGATCTTAGCTCCCTGACCAGGAGTCAAACACGCACCCCCTGCACTGGAAGGTGAAGTCCTAACCACTGGACTGCCAGGGAAGTCCCCTGTTCCTTTGTTTTTGACCTCCCCTAGCTTTCTTACCCCTTATTTCAGATACAGTTCTTCATTTAAAAGCTCTCTAACTTGCTTCTTCAGACAGAGCTTTTTTCCTGAAATCCTTCCAGAAATTTCCTCAGGGACTTTTCTTTTTCTTCTACTAAAGAGCTCCCGGTATTTAAATTGTTTCTGTCCTATTTGTTGGGAACATATAAATATTAGAAACCGGGCTTCCCTGGTGGCGCAGTGGTTGAGAGTCCGCCTGCCAATGCAGGGGGCACGGGTTTGTGCCCTGGTCTGGGAAGATCCCACATGCCATGGAGCGGCTGGGCCCGTGAGCCATGGCCGCTAAGCCTGCGCATCCGGAGCCTGTGCTCCGCAACGGGAGAGGCCACAACAGTGAGAGGCCCACGTACAGCAAAAAAAATAATAATAATAAATAAATATTAGAAACCTTTATGTTAGTCCCATGTTTATAATTTTTTTTTATTTCACTTGTAGTTTATATTTAAACATTTAAGCATATAGGCCCTTGGTTATGTATGACCTTACCCCATTAGAACACAGTTTTGGTGGAAAATTCAGATTTACCTCACATCATTTCAATTATGTGTCCTGTTTAGTACCATTTCCTGCCCAGCATCCACTTAGAAATCCCACTCTTTATATTCTCCTCACTCCTGTCCACTATCACTTTATCCCAGCTCCTCACCTCTGGTTCTACATTTCTTTAGGCTTATGCACAATGGCAGTATGTCTGTTGACTTTACCTTCTCCTTTCTTTATTTCTTTATTTAATTTATTTTTATTAATTTATTTTTGGCTGTGTTGGGTCTTCCTTGCTGCGCACGGGCTTTCTCTAGTTGTGGTGAGTGGGAGCTACTCTTCGTTGTGGTGGCTTCTCTTGTTGCCAAACGTGGGCTTTAGGCACGCGGGCTTCAGTAGTTGTGGCACGTGGGCTCAGTAGTTGTGGCTCGTGGGCTCTAGAGCACAGGCTCAGTAGTTGTGGCTCGTGGGCTCTAGAGCGCAGGCTCAGTAGTTGTGGCGCATGGGCTTAGTTGCTCCGCGGCATGTGGGATCTTCCCAGGCCAGGGCTCGAACCCGTGTCCCCTGCACTGGCAAGCGGATTCTTAACCACTGCGCCACCAGGGAAGCGGCCCCGTACCTTCTCCTTTAAATTGTGAAGACTTGTTTAGATTTTTTGGCTCAACTGACCCTTTACACCTGGTACCTTGTCCTATACCTCATATTGCTAAGAATTACTTGATGCTATGGTATTCTGCCTCCCTGTATCCTAACCGAAATGGCAACAGTCAGGTGTATTGGTGGCTGTCATATCTATAACAGGCATGGCTGTTAGGCATGGCTAACCTCATACCAGCTCCTTATTTGGAATAGGGATTTAACTCGTTAAAAAGGTCATTAGCTCCTAAGAAATCAGTTTCATTTTATTTTTTCATCTAGTTAATTAATACATCCATCAACTGATGTATTTTATATATGTATGTTGTGAATTTTCTGTTTGTGAGAACATTTAACTTCTACTCTTTTAGCAAACTTCAGTTATATAATATAGTTTTATTAACCATAGTCACCGTGTGATACATTAGATCTTCACACCTTAATCATATTATTTTAATTGATATATAATTCACATAACATAAAATTCACTGTACAATTCAGTGGCTTTATTACATTCACTATGTTGTGCTACATCCCCCAGTCTAATTCTAGGACATTTCCATCACCCCCACGTTTTTTTTTTCGTCTTTTTTTTATTATTATTATGGAAAAATTTCAAGAATATATAAAAATATGTAAAGTTAAAGAGAATAATAGAATTAACCCCTGTGTATCCATTGCCCAGCTTCAACACATCAATTCTTGGCCAGTCTTCTTTCATCTATAGCCCAGTCCACACCCCACCCACAACTCTGGATGATTCAGAAACTCCAACGCTATAAAGTAAATTAATAATAGGAAAATTATTAGGCCACATAAATTATTTAGATCGGGAAGGAGCTTTGATATGCATGCACTGGGCATGTCTAACAGGCTAGCTTCTTGTTTCTTATAAGACCCAGAAAACATCTCTTCTAGAAACTTCAAATAAATTCTTCCTCTCTTCTCACTGGCCCTCATTTGCTTCGGCCTGCCCATCCCTGAGCTAACTAATCTCACCATGAGATGATGGGATTACCATGACTGGCTTGGGAAAATGACCTGGGGCAGAAGGCATACTGGTTAGGGCACCATTATTGTCCACTACAGCAGTGATCATCAACATTTCCAACTTCCAGTACGAGATCAAATGCATCATTTTTCATCCCCCTGCCCCGCCCCATTTCTTTCTTTCATACAACAAATGCATATACATTCGAGCTCTGCTTTCAATAAGGACTCTTTTGGGACTTCCCTGGTGGCCCAGTGGTTAAGAATCCGCCTGTCAGTTCCCACATGCTGCAGAGCAACCAAGCCCATGTGCCACAACTACTGAGCCCGCGCTCTAGAGCCCGTGAGCCACAACTAGTGAGCCTGTGAGCCACAACTACTGAGCCCGTGTGCCACAACTACTGAAGCCCGTGCACCTAGAGCCCGTGCTCTGCAACAAGAGAAGCCACCGCAATGAGAAGCCCATGCACCGCAACAAAGAGGAGCCCCCTCTCTCTGCAACTAGAGAAAGCCCCCGCACAGCAGCGAAGACCCAGTGCAGCCAAAAATAAATAAATAAATTTATTTAAAAAGCATCAAAAAATACCTCTTCACAAAGATTAACTCAGTGGATCACAGATCTAAATGTAAAAAGCAAAATTATTTAAAAAAAAGGACTCTTTTTCTGTAGTCCATAATTGGTATGTCAGGCTTCTATAATCTGTCCCATGGTACTTATCGATTCTTATCTTCCGCGAGTATCCACTATAAACCCGATGCTTAAGCCAAATCATGCTCCTCAAGATGCCCTGCATTTATCATGCTTGGTCACAATTCCAAGGGTTCATTTGTTCTAGTTCTATGTTTAAAGGGCACTTCTTGCCCCTTTGCATATATACACATCCTAAGACTGTATACAGGTCCAATTTCTTTTTTTTTTTTTTTTTACATCTTTATTGGAGTATAATTGCTTTACAGTGGTGTGTTAGTTTCTGCTTTATAACAAAGTGAATCAGTTATACATATACATATGTTCCCATATCTCTTCCCTCTTGCGTCTCCCTCCCTCCCACCCTCCCTATCCCACCCCTCCAGGTGAATTTCTGTTATAGCACCATAAGATCATCTCGACCTGCTGTGGACTGTACATTCCCCCCCCCATTTCTTCATTCTGAGCTTTCATTACCTATTTCATTCATTTTCACACTCCAGTTCTTTTGCATCAGTCCTGAATGTCCATGTGCTATACTATATATCTGCACACAGACTTTGTATTTCGTGTTTTGTTTCTGCTTGTTCCTAGAATAATACTGACATGTGATTAATATTCAGCAAATACTTACTGAATGAACGAATCGCCAAAAATGCATGCTTATATTGTTATAACAAGTCTTTATTCCTTTAAGTTGCCTGGGCCTCTCAAATCTTTTAGCCATACAGAAATTTTTGTGTGAATAGTATTAATCTAATACAACTGGAAATAGACTCTTGGCATTTACATATTTGCCATTCCCAAGCAACTTGAAATTGTATGTAGTAAATTGCAATTTTGCTGAGACTCTAATTGATTCTTCAATGCTAATTGATAATTTTATGGAGGTAACTCAGTTAGATAGTAGTAATCCTAGCTAACCCCCTGGCAGCCAGATCCCAACACAGCTTTGTTATCCTATGCTTGTTGTCATATATAAAGTAACTTTCATTAAGGATTTTAAGGGAGTGGCTCAAAATTTGTATCTATTAATGCTGTCTTTTAAGGAAGGCATGGTTCTATTTATGAATTTGAAGATTCTCAAAACTTTTCATCTCCTTTGCAAATGCCAAAGTTTTCAGTATAATGTGTTTTGTGTCCTCTCCCATGCTGCTTAATTTATCCCTTTAAATTAATTTCAGTTTTTCAGTCCCTTGCTTAAAACCTATTGAAAACATACAAAGAGAAGAAGAGGTCTAGAGTGTAGAGAATGCTGTGCTTTAGCCTTCTATGAGAATAAGGAACTGCAGCTCCCCTGTTTGCCTTGTTTTAGAATGAATGGTTCTTTAATGGATTGGGCTATTTCAGCATTCCTGATTTAAGATCTCTTGTAGCCAGCGACAGTTTTGATGCCAGTAACATATGTGAATTAAATTAAATTGCATTGCAGGATCCAGCCAGTCCGCTCTGACCCAGTCAGCATGCCAGGGTCATCCCGTCCAGTGTCTGATCGAAGGGGAATTTCCACCGTGATTGATGCTGCCTCAGGTAGAAAACTACCTCCAAAGTGTTTACTGGGTATTTCTGTGCATTTTTAATTTCTTTTCTTGCACAGTGTAGCGAGTATATATTTTTTTGCCATCTTCCTCTTCTTTTTTCGGGGGTGGTGGGGAGGGATGGCTGCGTGTGCACATGCAGTTGTGTGTGCACATGTGCGTGTGAGGGGTGTGTGTGTGTGTGTGTATTAAAACAGTACTGTGTCTACATTTGCTGCTAAACGACGCCATGCATTTAAATATTGTTGAGGTTGGTGAATGATGGGGTGGAGTTGACACTTGATTAAATGTCATGAACACAGTATTGAAGGCTACAGCGTTGATGACTGTTTTGCCTTTGATCTCTCAAATGTGGAGAAGCAACCTTGACAGAGAACGTAAATACAATGTATGGATTCAATTTACTCAACCTGTTGAGTATCAAAGTGCCTGATCTGTGGAAGTAGAGAGTCCAAATGCTATAGCTTAAATGGTTTTATTATTGAAAGCATAAAGTTTAGAAATTCATTAACTTAACTCTATCTATCACAATGATTAACTTCCTGTCCTTGGAAGCAAGCCATGAATATGTGTCATCAGTACCTGGAAGTAGGTCTTTGTCTCTATAGGTGATAGTTGCTACATTAGTATTGTAAAACTGTTTTCTGCCAGGTCTGCCAAATAATAGAACTGCTCGTAATAATACATTTTCTCATCTCTAAATGCAGTCATAAAGAAAATAAGGACAGTGATGCTTTATATATGGTGCATCTGTGGCACATCTGAAGACAGCATACGGCAGGGCTTCATCAAAAAAAGTCTCTTACAAGTAGAATTATTAAACCCTCGGCATTAGTCAAACAGTTGAGTCAGAGAGGATTTTAATCTATAGCAACTTCAAAATCCCTAGAGACAGCTGACTTGATTGAGGCTTAAAATGTGAAAGAAAAAGGAAACAAACACAAACCTGATTTGTGAAGGTCTCTTTTAAAAGACCAAAGCTTCTGTTTCTGATTCTGTCTCTGGATGTGTTTCGAAGTTCGAAAGCTCATGGGTTTCGTATGTTTTCTTGGCTTTCTGAACTATTTGTCAGTGGATTGTACCTTGTGTCTGATTGAGCTATCCACTTCCAGGGCTGTGCTTTCATTCTTAATGTAAACTCTTACTTTGGAGAACTCATACTTGTTCCTCTGCTTTAACTTCGCAACCAGGGTAGTCCCCTGGAAACAAGCACAGAAATATCTAAGGTCCCTAGCCTTGCACTGAATGAGATATTGAGATAGGTGACTTAAACAATAAATCTTTTTGATAGTTTCAGTCTGTCAATGCTAACAGATCCTGCTCATGTGAAATTATCGTTTACAATTGTGAATCCTGGAAATGATGTATTTTAGCCTGAAGTATTTTATTCAAGATTTCAGTAGTAGGCTTTGTTGGTTTGGGGGTATTGGTTTTTTGTTTTTTTATGTTATTAAACTGCCATATTATTAATGTTTTAGCATCAGGTAACTAGCTATTGGTCAAGTGAAACACATGTCACTAAAGCAGTTCCCATATGTGTTATTAAATGTGCCATATTCAGTGCACAATTCTGGGTTAAGACTTGTATTTATCACATATCATTATCTCAATTTTAGCTCTTTGTAAAGTTCTCTCATGCCACAGAAAGGAACTTCAGTGAACTATTGCAACCATAGTTTTGATTTACTCTGTTGCAAGAAGAGTTTTTAAGTTGATGTTTGAGCAGGGGATTCAGTCTTTGCCTTTGATTTACTCAGATTTCCATCAGAAAAACATGTAGGAGGTTCTAGGATATTGTTCTCCAACTCTGAGCCTCTGCCTGACAGTACTAATCTTTGGAGTAGAGAAGGACTTCTTGGTGACCAAGCTGTATTATTTTTCTCGGCCTCTTTTCACTCCAGAAAACTATAGCTCCTTTCAGAATGACAGCCAGAGCAATGAAATGTGTGTGCTACGTTCTCTAGCTGAGCTAAAGAAACCCCATAAATGAGGGATTAGACTTCTATGAATTATCCTCTGCCTCTCAAATGGTTTGCATCCCTTTTGTTGAACATGTTTTTTAAGTGGGTGAATGATGTTTTGTTGGGGAAACTTCATCTACTTCTATCTAGTAGGACCACTTATTTAACAGTCTTACTTTCTATTGAGAAAAGATAGAGATAACAAGATAGAGGTTAGATGATCTGGGTTCTTTTTTTGAAATTTATTTTATTGAAGTATAGTTGATTTACAATGTTGTGTTAATTTCTGCTGTACAGCAAAGTGATTCACTTATACATATATATACATTCTTTTTCATATTCTTTTCCATTGTGGTTTATCACAGGATATTGAATATAGTTCCCTGTGGTATACAGTAGGACTTTGTTGTTTATCCATTCTGTATATAATAGTTTGCATCTGCTAATCTCAAACTCTGATTTGGGTTCTTTATGAAAGGAAGTTTATGGGGAAATTCCGTTTTAGATTCTTCTACTAAAAAGAGTATAACATATTTTTATAATTGCTCCTAAACCAGGAAGTGCGTCTCTGATTATGACCCATGCATTGGAGGCAGCTGCATATTATGAAGATGCTAATCTGGAGTTTTGATTGCCTTTGCTTAGAGAGATATGACCAGTGTGGCATCTCCTCTTATCAGGGTTCATTGCTTTGTCTTACCGTCAAGCAATTTATACGACTAAACTTATTGTCTTTTTAATTGTTCCTATGGCATATTTTTTTTCTCCATTACCAGTAAAAGTGTAAAGAATATGAGAAAAATGTCACCCTGGAGCAGCTCAATCATTTAAGCATTCCAGTAAGTGTTGTCTCAAAATGTTACACTGAACATCTTCCTTTGACAGCCTGACATGCATCCGCCATCAATTAAGTTATCTGAACTATTCTTGAATCTCTCTTTTAACAACATCACCTTTCTGGGAAAAGACTTGCATGTGTTTATAATCCCTTTCAATTGTGAAAGGTAACCCTTATTCTGGTTACCTTTATTTTAGTGGCAGCTCTTGCTCTGTCTAAACCAGTGGTAGTATTATTATTTTTCATCTAATTACTTTTCAGAGGCATAGTATTTAAAAGTTAATGTGACACTATCACATCTTTTGATGGCCGTGACAATTTTCGAAGTGAAAATATTATTTAAACCTTGGGTCTGTATGTTCTGTTTTAGGTATATGTGTATCTTGCAGTGTTATTCTACTGAAACTAAAAGAGATCAGCAGGGCATTGTGCCACTCTTGCTAGCAAATTTTTTTTTTTCTTGATCATCTAATATGTTTGTGCTTCACTCCTTCACATGGAAATATATTACCTAAACTACATGTTTTTCACTTATTAACTTTGATAATTTAGGCACAGTGTAAATTCCATGCCTTTAGATACCTATGAACCAGCTTCTTGCTGTCTCTCTCTCTATATATGTGTATTTTAGACTCAGCAGATCTATACTGCTTTATATGTAGATGTTGCTTCCCATGACATGTTTCATCTGATCTTTGGAGTTTCAAAAGATACTGTCCTACCTCAGGTTTTGAGTTTAGATAATTGTATGAGGTTCCCTTCTTGACTGAGGAGAAGACCATTCTGGAAATGGACTTTATAGGATTTATCCATACACACGGGCTACCCAGAACAAATGGGATTTGAATGAACTGCTCCATCTTTCCGGTCCAACTGATTGACATCAGTGTCCGAATCTTAGACAGTATGTCTAGGCAAAGCAATGCATGGATTACTTACTTTTTTTTTTCCCTCTGTACATTCCTTTTTTTCCTAACATTCCTGGTTAGGTAACTAAGAATTTCTTCCCTTTGTCCTTTATAACATGTGTCCTTCTTTTGATAAAAGTGTAGGACCTGAAGAGAAAAAAAAAATACTGTCAATGTCCTGTCCAAACTTGTTTCCCACATTGGTGACTGAAGTACTTGTTCCAGGCCTTGCAGGCTGTACTTGTTGGATAACTTAATAACAACTCTAATTGCTTCTGAGTCATCCACACAAAGAGCCTAGAAAGATCTGGTTCATCCTAAGTTTGTTTGTCCTCGTTTGTAGTTTTACTATGGAAATTGGTGTTTACCAAGAAAGAACTCAAAGCAACTGAGATTTAAAGACAAACTTATGCCTGACTTGTATGAAGAGCAGACACCTTTGTCAAACTCTATGAAAGTAAACATTTTATAGAGAAAATGTTACTAGAAGTGGTAAGAGCAGCACTGATGTACATTCCTGAGGCAGATGACAGTAGGAGAGGGAAAATTGTGACAGATAAGTAAAATGAGTTCTTGCTCTTTAGAGCAGGCTTTTTGGTACATAAGGTATTGGTGCTACTTCAAGCATTCCACTAAATAGGGACAGAGTTGCAGACCTGGTATTTGTTGTTGTTCTTGACTCAAGAGAAATGTTATTTTTGTTGTACAATTGCAGTCATCTAAATGATTTCTAAGGAATTAATTAATTCAGGCTTCCAGCACCAATTCTTCTGGAAAGCAAAATAATATGTTTGCTTGAAGAAAATGGAAACTGGTTTGATTTGATTGATTTCATAATGATCAACTGTGCCTACTTTGTGTATTTGGCATTTGGTGCATCAGACCCTTAAAAGAACAAATAATACTCACTAGAAGAGTATGGTTGGGTAGGCAACAAGGATATTATTTGAGGAGTCAAATTTCTGCTGGAGGGACATTCTGATAGAGGCATGCTTTTATCTTACAGAGATTTTTCTGATGCGCTGGGGGAAGCATATTCCTAAGGACTGTATTTCACTGTATCTACAGTTGCCATTTCAATCTGAGGCAGACAAACTTAGTTATTGCATCTTAAAGCCATCAGAGGCACAAGAGCTGCTGGTGGTAAGAAGCAAGAGATTTATAAGAAACACCATTTGGTCTACCATGGTGAGGCCACTTAGCTCCGTGACTTTTTTTTTTTTTTAACACCATTATTGGGGTATAACTGCTTTACAATGGTGTGTTAATTTCTGCTGTGTAACAA